CCTCTACGAGCTATGCGAGCAAGGCGAACACGCCCTAGGTACAAATGAGATCGATTTCGCAGCTTTTGCAGACGAACCACAACATGACCCCGGTGAAGTGATTCTCAATGATTACACCCTCAACGATGATGACGATGTCGCAGATCAGGCTGTGACACATCATCAAGTAGTACACACGCAACTGAAAGAAGAAGAAATACTGTGGGATACTGTAGACAATCTTGATCCAATGGATTTTTGATTAGCAGCAGTCAACACCCACAAAGTAAATCAATTTCCTTTGAGACTGTCTGCGGAAAGAAGCGGTGTAAATTCAAAATCTACCACACCATCCGGGACCATCGTCCTGCACGAGATAGGACGACCAACCACGCGTCCAAGTGGGATGGAGCTTGTCTTGACACTGGTGACCAGCGAACTGTAGTTGGCCTCGCTCAAGCCAAAGCCTACTGTCCATTCACTGGCACCAAGTTCAAGCCCAAGCCGAGCCCGATACACTTCAGGTTCGGTAATGACTCCCAAGTTTCACTTGGAACCATGAAAATATCCATTCCCATTGCTGATGGTTACTTAATTCGCGAACAGGTTGACTTGTCAACCTGTTCGCGAATTAGGTAACCTTGACAATGCATTTTCAAGGCCAATGTCCCCTTTTTTATTTTACTTGACCTCTTAGACAAGTACCATATGTTCATTGATAGCGTCAACAACATGCTCCGATCGCCTAAGTTTGGTCTTGACATACCCCTTCGGCGCAAGCTGGGTCACATCTATCTGGAGTGGGATCACTCCTCCAAAACGCACTTCACCAAAGCTGAACTGATCAAGCTTCATCGCGGTTTTTCCTATCCGACATCAGAGAAACTCATGAATCTGCTTCGCTTGGCCCGCCCTTTTGAAGTTGATGAGGACACAAAGCAGTTTCTCGAGTCTCTGCAAGCGGCTCGTGACACCTGTCAACGCCTTGGCCCCACTCCTGTACGTTTTAAAGTATCGCTATCTAATGAACAGGATTTAAAGTTCGGAGACGAATTGTCCATTGACCTGATGTTTCTAGATGGAAAAGCCGTACTTCACGTCATCGACACAGCCACTAGATTCTCGCCAGCCATCTTTCTAGACGCTCATGGCGCCACTTATGTCCAAAGCGTTGAAGGTATTTGGCTAGCCTTCGTGGAAGCCTGGTGTACCTTGTATACTGGCCTTCCAAATAGACTTCGCGTAAACCAAGGATCCGCATTCACATCTGATCGATGGCGGGAGATAACTGCACAAGCTGGCATTCAACTTCGCATATCTGGTGTAAAAGCCCACTCATCGTTAGGTATTGGAGAACGTCTTCACTTAACGCTGCGAAGGATTTATAGAAAAGTACGAGCTGACTTCCCGTACGCTTCTCCGTTCATTCTTCTAAAAATCGCAGTCAAAGCAATGAACAACACAATCGGAGAGAACGGTCTAGTCCCTTCTCTATTGGTCTTCGGAATTGTTCCCCGCTTCCCAATCATAAGTACGGAAATACCTTCGCAGCGAGAAAGAATGCAAATTCTTTCAACAGCGCAGATGGAAATGAATGCAATCATCGCAGAACGACGTGTACTAGCTGCTCTGAATCAGAACATCCCTCCAGCCTCCGATCGTTTGTATAATCTTGGAGACGAGATTGTATTATTCTCAGAGCAAGAGTAGCAATGGATCGGTCCATTCCTTGTTTGCAAGGTTCACGGATGGATGATAACTGTTCAGAACAGCGAAGGAACTTATCGACAAACGTTCAACGCTTATCAAATCAAGCCATACTACGCTTCGCTCGAGTCTATTCTCCACCAGCAAACTGCTCCATTTCGTAGTGGCAAAGCCTCAAATCCACCCAATAACGTCCTTCTTACTGAAGTTATACATCCCAATGATCCTCCTGCACAACAACTTGATAATGCTAAGCGAAAGGAAATAGAAGGACTGATCGAAAGAGGTACTTGGAAGTAAGTGCTTCGCGATGAAGTTCCAGACAACGCAAACTTCTTAAATGGATGATTCGTCCTTGCTATTAAAGACTCTGGAACAAACAAGAAAGTATGGAAAGCCCGATACGTAGTACAAGGTCACAAGGACAAGATGAAACGGTCATTCGTTCACGACACCTCAACGGCACGACAGTTCAGCGTCAAACTACTCGTCGGTCTTGGTGCTCTTTTTGACTTTAGACTCTTCTCAACAGATGTCACACAGGCATATTTGCAGAGTACGGAAGAGCTCTCCCGTGATGTCTATGTTAAACCATCATCTGAGTTCGACTTGGATTCTAATCAACTCTTGAAACTACTCAAGCCGTTGTACGGACTAGCGGACAGTGGTGACTACTGTTGTAATTCTACGACCACATGCAGACACGCATGACACACAACGACAGGTTTCACACGTGTAAAATCGAAAACACTCCGCATGACGAGCTGAGCAAGTTTGATTTTCAACGTGTACACGTGTGATTTCTGTACACGATTGCACTCTACAGTACTTCAGGAGCAAGTTTGGTTTTCAGCGTGTACACGTGTGAAATATGTACACGGTTGCGGTGTACTGTACAATCTGAGCATGTTTCATTTTCTCCGCCCGACACGTGTATGACCTGGACACATGTCCTCATTACACTGTCGGACGCGTACAGTACGCCTGCTGTCTTACAGACAAAGTGTAGAACCTTGGTAGCGGGTGCCTGGCACGTGCCAAAGGTTTACAGCGTCCATGGAGTGCAGCACGGGTACAGAAGGACACAAATATGCCGTTGCGCGAGTTTTGAATTCGTAAGGCAAAACGTGCACTGATGTAATTGACAGTGGACAGGACCTCACGAGAGATTCAGATTCAAAAGGCAACGTGTGCGCTGTAAACAGTCCTTGCAGGATTGATTTGAATTCGTAAGGCAGCGTGTGAGCTGTAAACGTGCCTTACGAATTTGTGCCACGCTGGATTTGGAATAGTAGGAGAATTTGTGCTTTGCTGTGCTTTGTTGTAATGCCTTACTAATTTCTCCGTCATGACAGTGTGGTAATTCGTAAGGCGGTTTTCTGTTATGTTTGTTGGGCCATCGCCAGTTTGGCTGAGTAGCAAGACGGGCATATGTGTTAGAGCCAATACATTTGTAGTATGTGTGTCGTAGTCTTTGGTAGTAGAGTTCTAGAAGATTGCAGAAGTGTATAAGTAGTGCCAGAAGTTGGCGACTCAAAGTAAATCGGTACCCAATCCTTCAACTTCACCTCATCAACCGTCCTTCGAATCCCCTTCGCCCCGCTGACCTACCATTAACTACTGGGGTATAACATTAAAGAATCATCTAGAGAAGGAACTTGGGATGAAGCTCAGTGTAACAGACGCCGCTTTCGTCTTCAAGCGCATTGGTGAGAAGCTTGCTGGTCTCTGTGCTACGTATGTAGATGACTGTCTTCCAGCTGGCACTGACGAATTCTGTCACCAGGCAAAGTGTGTCGAGAGGAAGTTCAAATGTCGACCGAGAGATTATGACAATGTCCAGTTTGCAGGCATCAAGATAGAATCCACACCTTACGGATTCCAAGTTCATCAGAGACACTATATTTCTAAGATCAAGAAGATCAAAAGGGACGCCTCCTTCAAAGGCTTCCGTTCACTTCGAGCTCAATTATCCTGGGCTACTCAGTCACGCCCGGATATTGCATGTGCAGTTGCACAGGCAGCCCAGGTTACGGAAGATCTTTTCAACTCGGACCCCAAGAAGTATTGTAAGGGACTAAATTCGGTTGTAAGCCATATACTTACAACTACGGATCAAACACTTATATTCCCTAAGCTGGACCACAGACGTCTTCGGCTGCAGGACTATTCCGACGCGTCCTACGGAAACAACCTTGACGGATCTTCTCAGCTAGGCTATATCATTTTCCTTGCTGACGACAACGATAGATGCCAACCATTATTTTGGTCTTCGCACAAATCTAAGCGTGTTTCGAGATCTGTCCTTGGCAGCGAAACAATGGCCTTCGCTGATGCGTTCGATATGGCTTCCGCAATGAAAAACGACATTTGCAAAATGACATCGCTCGATATCCCGATCATAATGCTTACGGATAGTCTTTCTCTCTTCGATGTTATTACAAAAGCAAAGATAATATCCGAAAGGCCACTAATGATCGATGTTGAAGTTGTTAAGGTTGCGTATCAAAGACATGAATTAGGCGCTATTGGATTGATTCCTTCCGAATACAACCCTGCAGACGCATTGACTAAGGCCAAGAAAAGTGACATACTGAACAAGATGCTACGAGAGTCAGTTCTTTCACACTCTATTGAGCAGTGGATCAATCGAAATTCGTGAACATGCACTGTCACGAAAAAGTTTGGGGAGTGTCAGAGTAACTGACTAGACGAGTAATAAATTTAATTAGCTTATCATTATCAATTCAGGTTAAACTATGTAGGCTACATTTAGCTATCAACAATAGAGTCCCTTAAGGACTTGCCACCTACAATTCTACATGTTCAGGTTGTAACTGTTTAGAGACATTTCATGGGTGGCGCAACCTCCCTTTTATGGTACTGCGCCTACTGTTATTGTAGAGTCAATACGACTATAAAGCCAGGTCGAAGACGCTACTGGTCTTCGACCTCAGCACATTGAACGAACCCGAATTACTCGACCACCTTGTTCCCTCCCAGTGCGCTCCCGCAGTTACGAGGCAATAGCCTGCTGCGTCCCCTTTTGCCTTGGAAACGCTAATTACCTCCCTTTTTAGCCACACCCTCAAAACCCTCTCCGGACCGCCCCGCCCGGTCGGTCTCCCGACAGCCAATGCCGCGCGGTCGGGATGACCGCAACAGTGACACGCCCTGAATCAAAAACCAGTCTGTTAAGACACGCCCTGAGGGCGTGTCTTAACAGGCTGGTTTTGCTTTGCCTTGCCCGGTTTTGCCAGGAATACTTTTAAATTCTTAACAAATACCGTATGCTTCTTAAGCCCTTGCTTTTATTAAACACATAAATTAAAACGTAGGAGCCACTCATAGCACGCCAAATCACTTCTTTGGGCAAAGCAAACCGCAGCAAAATGGGGCATGTCTAGACACACCCTCAGGGTGTGTCTTAACATGACCCGTTTGTTGTGTTTTAACATGCCCCGTTTTGGGTGACGTTCAGGGTGACGTGCTGTAGACACGGTACCTTCGAAGGTATGTTTCGAAGTTCGACCAGTCTCGAGACTCCCCGCATGAAACCCCCTGCCCATGCCAGCCGCGTCGGCGCCGCACCCGATGGCGCCCTCCGATCCCGCCCACAAATTTTTAGATCTCCTCAAATTCTTCACGGATGGTACGACCGTGCTTGGCCCGGATGTTGATCTCTCTGACTCTGCCTCCGTCGCTCGCTTCCTTGCTCACATCGATACATCCTCTGCCGCGAAATCCCTCCTCCATCTCTCGGGCCCAACACCGCTTTCGGTTCCTTCGTCCGCCTGCTCGCCAAGCTCTCCGGCCAGGCCCTCGACGCCCCCTCTCTTTCTCCCCCGAACCAGCCGTCGCTCCCGTTGCTTCGTCACCGTATCTCCGTGCCGCCTCCGCCACTCTTCCGCCCCCCAAAACCTCCGTCGCGACTCCGGACAGTTAGTTACTCTCCAACCGCCCCGCACCCTCGCCCCGACGATCTTCCACGCCTCTCGCGCAGATTGGAAGCGGATCTTCAGCATGTCAGTCGAGACATGTTCGGCTACGACAAGAAACGCTTTGCTTGTGTGTCTACCACTGATAAGCGACCCTTCGTCAATCCCCACGCGTTCCGCACCGCCTTGAACAAGACCAGCTTTCACGCTCCCTGCTCTATTATTCCTACCCTCGATAAGGACACTGTCCTCGTTTGCGCACAGCACAATGACCTGCTCCGTATTGCCCGCCATTGGGAAGTCTATCGAAAGAGCGTTCCGATCTCTCCCTCCCTCCTCCGATCACCGTCTCCGCTCCCTTCGATCTCGACGCATCCCATTCCTTGAGCGCTATCCACAAAATCTTCCTTCCACTCCGTGCCGAAATTGCTCGACTGGAGGACCCTGATTGCCTCTGGCGCCCTGCACGACACTATGCCGCCGTCATGCGCAAGGCCGAAGCTTCCCTCCAGCACAAGCTCAATGACCCCGATCTCCCACCCTTACCACCCGCGCCTGGATCTTCCGCTCCCGCAACGCCCCCCTCACGTCCCCACAAGCGCCCTCGTGATCCGGCAGCACCTGACGTGGACCCCCATCGTGGCACGCGCTCCACCGCTTCCCCGGAGATCGCGCCTGCTCCTGATCCGCACGACCAGGCTGCCGACATTCCGGTACCCATTGAGATCGACACAAACGACAATGACGTTCCTCCCCCAGCCCTTTGATGCCCACTCCCACCCGTCAATCGTGCCCTCCCCCGTCTCTTCTCTTCAGTGCCCCTATACCAACCTTGAAGCATCTTCCCGCTGGGTTGCATGCCCAGTTTCATGAAATAATGTATAAGCTGTTTCTCTGCGCCAACACTGCCAGGTCTACTACTGCTCAAATCGAGTCAATCTCCCGCGTTTTCGCTGTCTGGAAGCTCGTCTTCCGGAAACACGGACGAGGCGAACCCCGTAATCGCCATCGTCCCTCCTCCGTCGCCAAATTGCGGCGGCGTATGGACCTGTGGACCGCTAACACTCTTCCCGCCCTTCTCGACGACGCCCTCGACGCGTTCGGCGCCCTCCCGTCTACCAAACCGCGCTCGCCCCATAATCCCATACGTAGGTGTCGCCAGCTCATGCAAGACCAAGCCATCACCAAAGCTGCCGCCGCCTTGTGTTCCAAGGTCCAACCTGTCCCCGCTAATGCCGACACTCAGCAGGTCTTCGCTCGCCTGCACCCTTGCCCCACCATACCTGTTGTAGCGACCAGCCGTGACGCCCTTCCTTCCGCGCTGCAGTTCACGGAAGGCGACGTCCAGCGCGCTATCCGCGAGTTACCCTACCATAGCGCTCCTGGTCCTAATGGCCTACGCCCCTCCCTACTGAATATACTTCTAAAGTCTCCCGGTGGGGTGGTCCCCGGCCGTTCTGCGCTTGCCGAGCTCACCAAATTCTTCAACCGCTGTGCTGACGGACACGTTCCCGTTCAAATACGCGCCTGGTTTTCCAGCGCCTTGCTCATTGGTCTTCGCGACACTGCGGGCACCAAAGTACGTCCCATCGCCATGGGGATCGTTCTTCGACGCCTCATTGGCCGCCTCCTCGCCCATCGCACCTGGCAGGATTCGTCTGTCCATCGTCACTTCTTGCCTCACCAGCTTGCTATCGTACCAAATGTGGCACAGAGGCCATCATTCATGCCACCCGCCTGGCCGTGGACGGCTTGGAAAGAGACGATATGGTACTTTTAAAGATCGACGCCACGAATGCCTTCAATGCTATCGAACGTCAAGTCATTCTGGACGAGGTCGTCAAGCATGTCCCAAGCATTGCCCGGTTTGTTCACATGCTGTATGGCTCCGCACCCCGTTTATTGTTTGGCCGGTATGAACTGCAGAGCCAGACTGGCGCTCAACAAGAAGATCCCCTTTGCATGATATTATTCACCTTAGCGCTGCACCCACTACTCTGCCAAATCGCCACTCACTTCCCAGATATTAAGCTGCTGGCCTCTTTTGCGGATGACATTAATGCTATCCTTCCCCTGCGCACTGCGTCGCTTTTACTCCAGTTTCTACAAGTCCATGGTCCCCGCAGAGGCTTCCACGTCAACCTCCGCAATTTGAACGGGAACGTGTCCGTCAGCACGGCGGTTGAGGAATTTGGTGAGCTCGGCAAGCGCAGAACGGCCGGGGACCACCCCACCGGGAGACTTTAGAAGTATATTCAGTAGGGAGGGGCGTAGGCCATTAGGACCAGGAGCGCTATGGTAGGGTAACTCGCGGATAGCGCGCTGGACGTCGCCTTCCGTGAACTGCAGCGCGGAAGGAAGGGCGTCACGGCTGGTCGCTACAACAGGTATGGTGGGGCAAGGGTGCAGGCGAGCGAAGACCTGCTGAGTGTCGGCATTAGCGGGGACAGGTTGGACCTTGGAACACAAGGCGGCGGCAGCTTTGGTGATGGCTTGGTCTTGCATGAGCTGGCGACACCTACGTATGGGATTATGGGGCGAGCGCGGTTTGGTAGACGGGAGGGCGCCGAACGCGTCGAGGGCGTCGTCGAGAAGGGCGGGAAGAGTGTTAGCGGTCCACAGGTCCATACGCCGCCGCAATTTGGCGACGGAGGAGGGACGATGGCGATTACGGGGTTCGCCTCGTCCGTGTTTCCGGAAGACGAGCTTCCAGACAGCGAAAACGCGGGAGATTGACTCGATTTGAGCAGTAGTAGACCTGGCAGTGTTGGCGCAGAGAAACAGCTTATACATTATTTCATGAAACTGGGCATGCAACCCAGCGGGAAGATGCTTCAAGGTTGGTATAGGGGCACTGAAGAGAAGAGACGGGGGAGGGCACGATTGACGGGTGGGAGTGGGCATCAAAGGGCTGGGGGAGGAACGTCATTGTCGTTTGTGTCGATCTCAATGGGTACCGGAATGTCGGCAGCCTGGTCGTGCGGATCAGGAGCAGGCGCGATCTCCGGGGAAGCGGTGGAGCGCGTGCCACGATGGGGGTCCACGTCAGGTGCTGCCGGATCACGAGGGCGCTTGTGGGGACGTGAGGGGGGCGTTGCGGGAGCGGAAGATCCAGGCGCGGGTGGTAAGGGTGGGAGATCGGGGTCATTGAGCTTGTGCTGGAGGGAAGCTTCGGCCTTGCGCATGACGGCGGCATAGTGTCGTGCAGGGCGCCAGAGGCAATCAGGGTCCTCCAGTCGAGCAATTTCGGCACGGAGTGGAAGGAAGATTTTGTGGATAGCGCTCAAGGAATGGGATGCGTCGAGATCGAAGGGAGCGGAGACGGTGATCGGAGGAGGGAGGGAGAGATCGGAACGCTCTTTCGATAGACTTCCCAATGGCGGGCAATACGGAGCAGGTCATTGTGCTGTGCGCAAACGAGGACAGTGTCCTTATCGAGGGTAGGAATAATAGAGCAGGGAGCGTGAAAGCTGGTCTTGTTCAAGGCGGTGCGGAACGCGTGGGGATTGACGAAGGGTCGCTTATCAGTGGTAGACACACAAGCAAAGCGTTTCTTGTCGTAGCCGAACATGTCTCGACTGACATGCTGAAGATCCGCTTCCAATTTGCGCGAGAGGCGTGGAAGGTCGCAGGTCATTGTGCTGTGGGCAAACGAGGATAGGGTACCTTCGAAGGTATGCTACTGTGAAAGAATATGATAGGTAGTGGTTTACAGTCGGCGCGGCTGCTGGCTGGAACCACCTCTCCTTTAAGACAGCATGGACATACAGGTGTATGTACTTGTGGTAGGAATGTTAGTCTCGAGCGGAAGCTGAGGCTCGGTTTCCCTGAACGTGCGCAGCGGAGGGAGCAGAACGGAGGTGATCGAGCGAGGCGAAGCGAAAGGCCACAAAAGCCACCGGGGGTCTTGTCTCGTGAGTGCGTGAGTATCCCCCGGATTTCTAGTCCCTTTAATTTCCCCTTGATTTAAGTACCCGGTAAAATTCCCCTTTGTAATTTTGGGACCGGCGGCGCACCGCCGCGGACACTGCCAGTCGCTTAGGGCTAGCGCTGTCCTCGCTGTACAGTGCCCACGACACACCCCCCGTCGGGCCACGTTCGACGGCGGCCAGCGGCGGCCGACTACATGCGCACGCCGACGGCGGAGTATATCCGTTGGGAACGTGGTCCGACTCTCTGGCAGACCCCAGTCAGCGGGCTCTCCTTATGCACCGCGTGCTCCTCCACGGAGTTATCCCTTTCTTCCCTTTTCCTTCGGGCGCCTGCCTTACACCGCATTCCCTACCTGCGATCGGTCCCCCATTTCGCGCGTCCGCGCACCCGCTTCTTAAATCGCGCTGCATTTCCGGCTCCTCTCCTTGGGCCCGCCGCGCATCTCGCGATCCGTTTGAGCTCCGTGGTCACAATCTGCCTCGCCGCGCCGCCACACCACCGTGCCACCGCACCACCGCGCCAAGCATCACATTCTCAATCTCCCCTACTGGGGCCTCATCCAT